CACAGGTTACCCTGAGGATTATTACGTATTCATGATATTGAAGACTATGCAGGAAACCCCGTGTCCATTTACTTAAGTCACTTTTTCACTGTCCCAGAGGAAGGACTTGAACATTTTTTCTCCGTATAAAGTCTGCAGATTTCTGGCTAAATGAGCATTACTTTCTCATTGTACCACGGCCATTCTATGTCTGGAATTTGGTTTTTCTGGTTCGCAGGCAAGCATCGTGCTTTGAGCACCCGGTGGTCTCGAGGAGCGTCTGAGCGAGCGGCAGGTGGATGTCTGCTGGGGGCCGGGTGGCTCAGGGGCGATGGTGCTGACCTCAAGCGCTCGGTTGGGCGTGGTGGATGATGCCTTGCTGAGGTGTGGCCTTCCCAAGGGGCGTGGCTGTTTGAAGGGGCGTGGCCTTCGGAGGGGGCGTGGTCTTGTCTTCGCAGGAGCAGTTCTGGGGCAAGATCTGGTCATACCTGTCTCTGACATTTCCAGACGGTCCGTGTGGAGCCCGCTGACCCAGTTTCCCGAGAGCCTGCCCTTCCCTGGGTTGTCTTCTGCTCACCCGGGAAGAGGGGGCGGCTTGGGTCCAGCCACTGTCCTGGTGGCCCCCTTGACCTTCAGGAAAGGGTGCTGGCCTGTCTCGGCTCCCCTGTCCTGCAGATGCCTGGGCCTGTCTCCCTGGCTCTTCTCCGGGGAGTGCGTGGGCGGGTGCTGGGCACCCTCTGCGCTCTCTGACCTGGCGGGCGTGAGGCTTGGCTCACCGGCCCAGCACACCTCTCCGGAGTTGACCCGGAGCAGGACCCAGGTGGAAGCAGGTCAGAGGGGCCCCAGCCCAGACCCTAGTGGGGTTGTCCCCCGCGCCACTGCAGTGCCGTGTTTGCGGTGGCCCAGAGCCGTGGGGGCTGCCGGTCCCCTCCCAGCCACTCAGAGCATTCTCACGCCCCTGGGCCCGGCTGGGAGAGGCCAGGAAGGGGATGGCTGGAGGCCAGGCTCAGGCTCAGGCTGGAGGGGCTGCCTCAGGTGGCCCAGAGCTTCAGGAGGCCCCAGGGCAAGCAAGGCAGGGGGAGGGGAGGGAGGCCAGGGCAGGTGTCAGGAGGGCCAGGCAGGACATCTCCGGCGGCCCTGACCTAGGCTTCAGCTGCGGGGCACCGGGCTGTGGAGGGAGAGGACAGGATAGGGATCCCAAGGTTTTGTCCATTCCCTTTGAAACCAACTGAACCTGGTGTGCAGCCGGTGGCCCTCGCTGGGGAGCAGCTTGCCTTCTGTAGCCCAGCACCCACGGGCCACCGTGTCCTGCCACGGCCCTGTGCCCTCACTTTGACCCAGACCCCGCCCCCCACCGCCCCTCGGGTCGTCCCCCTTGCCTCCAGGCATTGTTGACCCTGCGGCGCGGCCATCCTCCCCTGCTCCGGGCTCCCTTGTCCCTGACAGATCAGGGGCTGGCCTGCGGTGACCCCGGGTAACCCGGGAGAGGGCTGGAGGGTGTGTCTGTCTTGTTCTCCATGCTTCCACCACCGCCACCCCAAAGAGCCTGGCACGCGTGTGTTGATGGACTGAACGGTACACGGGGAAGGGGTGTGGGGGTGAGGGGCTCTGCTGGGTGGCCTTGGCCTTGTTTCCAAGCCCCTCGGACCCCAGCGTCCGAATCCACAGATTGGGGACGGATATTGTGCCCAGGTCGCTGTGTTCTAGGGGCTTCGTGCCATCTGGCAGGCAAGGCGCCCGGCACTGGGCCGACCCGCTGCGGCCCCTGAGAGGCTGCCCGTATTTTTGCTTGCTCTGGTCTTGTGCCTGTCACTGCTCCTAGGGGTTCTGGGCCCGGCGGGTGAGGCCCCAGCACGGTGGCCTGGTCTCGGGGCGGGGGGAGGGTGTCCGGAGCGCCGTGCTTACCGTCGAGGTTGAAGACGGGGGCTTTCTGCAGGTGGAATCTGGCTGCGTACTCGAGGAACTTCCGCAGCCACGTGGGGTCCCCGCGCGTTCTTCTGGCTGAAGTCAGAGGGGCCCAGAGTCTGGAGGCCGTGTCTTTTCTCCGAGCGCCCCCTCCTCTTTCCGGCCCGAGCCCTGTTGCTGACTGGCTGGTGGCTGCGGCCTCAGCCCTAGTCCCCTCCGTCCTCCTCTGCCCCGGGAGCAGGTCTGCCCTTGGCGGAGTAGGGACAGCGCTCCTTCTGGGGGCGCATCAGGCCCCAGCCCCCGCGGGGGGGCCCCGTTCACATGGCAGCCTGCCGCCTACGCCACTTGGCCAGCCCGGGATGCCCCCCGCCGCCTCCATCTAGTCCTCAGGCGCCCCCACCCGCCCAGCCCATCCTCCACACCTCCCCGGGGATGCCCCACCCACCCCGGGTCTGCCCCATGTGCCTCTTCCACTTTCTGGGCCTGACGGGACTCAGGGCCTTTAGGATCCTTGACTAGCTCCCTGGTCAAGACAGGGGGGGCTTTCTGTGCTAACAGTGTCCCTGCTCCCGGGACACACGCACGCGCGTGCATGCACACGCACACGCAGACACACATGTATGCACACTCCCACACGTGCGCACTGTGGGCGAATCTGAGTGAACTCCAGAGGGAGCCAGTGGGCAGGTGCAGGGCTGACCCCCGAGGGACAGGTGCCCGGGGGAAGCACCCACAGGGTCCCTGGTGGCGCCAGCACCCCTGGAGCCCCCGTCCCCCTAAGCCCAGGTGTTGGGCAGAGGCCCCAGCCAGCATCCGGAGAGCCGCCACCTACCCAGAAGAGCCCACAGGCTGGTGACCTCGCCGGCGTCCTCGAGGCGGACGTAAAGAATGAGGCTGCTGTAGTCCGTGCTCACGAAGCAGACGTGCACGCTGGCGCCTCCCTCCACTGTGGGCGACCCCAGCCCGGTGACAGGTGAAGCCTCTCTCCTCAGCCCCCGACAGGACCCCGGACAGCTCAGGACCCCGGGAGGCTGTCTCCCTCCAGCCCTCACCCTGGTTCGGGACATCGAGTGTCCCGGTCCAGCAGGGCACCCAGGCCAGAGGGTGGGCTACTCACAGGAGCCTTGGAACTGGCCTTGGAGCCCGGTTGGGTGGACGGTGATGTTCACTCCTTTGCACACCCCCTCTCCCCTGGGGAAAAGAGGGGCATATGGTGGTCAAGTCCTCTTCCTGTCTCCCAGCCCCTGGGGACATCGGAGGCGCCCTGGCTGAGGTCCCAGGTGTCTGCCTGAGTCTCTCGGCTCCCGGGGTCCTGAGGTCATCCAATTGGGGCACAGGGCTAGAGGGCAGCAGCGAGGAATCAGCGACTTCCTTGTTGCTGGAATGGAGCCAAACCTCCCGGAAGGAGTGGACCCAGTCTGTCCTTGGCTTGGAGCTCCAGGTCTCTGGGTGGGGACTTGGTCCTGGCTGTCCCTAGTCACTGGGCTCCACACATAGGCCCCTCCTTTTTGGCCCCCCGCCCCGGGGTCTTCAGTGTCTCCGCTGGAGTGGGTGGGGCGTGGGCAGGGTGCCTGTGGACCCTGGGAGCGCACGGCCCTTGGGGTGGGTGTCTATGGCTGAGCACCAACAAGGCTGTGGCTCTAACTTGGGGTCCTCAAGGCCCTGGGTGCAGGACAGGTCTAGGTACGGCTGACACCAGCACAGCGCGTCATCACCGTAGATGCTCCTGACCAGTGTGAAGCCCAGCCCTGCCCGGGCTTCTGTGGTTTCCACGGTGGGAGGGACCGGGCGTGTGCGGGTCTGTCCCCGGCCCCTCGTGGTAAGGCTCTGGGGCTTCTGAAGTTAGATTTACACCTCTTGGGGGGTCTCAAGCCTGCAACTTAGTGCCTTATGTCTCTCTGGTCCTCCCCAATGGTCACCGTCCCTTGGGAGGCCTCCGGGCGGGCTCACTCTGCGAGGGGCTGCAGAGGCCATGCTTACGTCCAGAACAAGACGAACTCCACATCCTCGCCCCGCGTCCAAATGGAATGGAGGCCGAGCCTCAGGGGGTCGTCTGGGGAGACCAGGTGGGCGCGGCTGGCAGCCAGCTGGACAGTCAGCCAGCGTCCCTCCACCTGCGGGGTGCGGGGTGCAGGGGGCTGGACACTCCCTGGCCCGAGTCTCCACTCTCAGGCCCCAGCACCCCAGCGCTGAGCGCCGCCTGGGGAGCTCAAGGGCCAGCAGGGTATGCTGGGGGGGGGGGCAGCTGGCCTTTTGGAAATGGCCTCCTCTGTGAGGCTGCCCTCTGTCTCCCCCAGTCCCCTTCTTGCCTCTCCCTTCCCGTTTCCCTCAGCTCCTCCCGTGTCTGGTCGTAGCACTGACCCCTGCGGGGTTCCACATGACCTGGCCGGGTCTGGGGAGGTGAGAGGGATGCCCCAGAACCATACCGAGTGCTGGCCTCGCTCCAGCCACGCTCCCCACAGTGCTGGGTGTTGGGCAGATGGGACAGGCAGGCAGGGGGGACCCTGGGCCCCTCCTTGCCCCCAGGGCCGAGCGGGAATGCGAGGACCCTCCATTCCAGTCTGGGCCGGGCAGACTCTGCGAGGAGCAGCTGTCCCTTTGCGAGCCTGTGCCTGGGCCCAAGCCGCCCCTCGCCTCTCGGCTGGCCTCTCTCCCCGGGTCCCGCTCCCAGAGGCTGCCGCGCTGCCATGCCAAGCCCCCAGGGGCACCCGCCTCCTTGTCCCAGGACTGTGTCTGGGCCCTGACCCGGCTCTGTTACCTCGTGGGCATTAAACCCGGGCTGTACCGGCACGTCGTCTAGGGTCTTCTGGGCACCGGCCAGGCCCAGGCTGAGGGCCAGCAGCAGCAGTGGCCCCCTCTGCGGGGCCATGACCTCGGGGCCCGAGGGAGAGGAGGCCCGGCGGCCGGGTCCTTTCTTCTTGGGCATCCTCCAGAGGCCACTTGTCAGAAGACCGTCCCTGCCAGGCTCCCTGAACACTCAGAATTATTCCCACGGAAGGATGTGGCCTCCCTGACACCCCCCTTATCTCTGAGGGGTGGGGCGGGTGTCATTTGACCTGGGCGGCGGGTGCCGTCGGGGCAGTCTGGCCACATTGCTGGCTGTCCTGGGCGTCACCTCACCCCTGGGAGCTCAGCTTCTCCTCCCGGCAGGTGCTCGTCTGAGCCAGGACCGCCCTCCCCCTCCTCCCCTTCCACTGTCCTGGGAGGTGAGCTGGGAGGGAAGGCGGGAAGCGCGCAGACTCTCAGGCTGGCGCTGGTTCATATTGCCCACAGCATGTCCCACACCCTCTCCCATCATGGCCACTCAAACCGGACTCCAGCAGCCGCTGGCCCACCACCCTCTCCTGGGGCCCTGCGAGCTGCATGACCCTGCGGGCCAGGGTGCAGATGAGAGCCTGGAGCCGAGGCAGAGCCGGTTCACAGCTTTACAGCTCGGGAAGGGGCACAGAGGGCAGGACGGCCGTGGGGGAGGGGCACAGAGGGCAGGACGGCCGTGGGGGAGGGGCACAGAGGGCAGGATGGCCATGGGGGAGGGGGACAGGGAGGACAGGACACTCCAGAGGTGGACATGGGGGGACAAGACAATGTCCCTGGGATTGCACCTCGGAGGATCTGAGGAACCAGCCCAGAGGGAACCCTCCCCTCCATGTGCCAGGGACACTTGGCTCCCATGTCAAGGGTCTTTAGGTGATTTCCTCTGTCTGTCCCCTCTCTTGGGAGCCTGCCCCTTCCCTGCGTCCTCCCACTGGTCCCCCCGGCCCCCACACCCGTGGCCTGCTGACGCTGGTCCCCCCGGCCCCCACACCCGTGGCCTGCTGAGGCGGCCGAGCACCCTGGATCCTCATGGGGCTGGTGCTCTGAGCGTCCGTGAAGCCTCAGGGTCACCAGGCTCCGGACTCAGCTCCTCGGCCGTCCTCCTGTGTGGTTCCCGGAGGGGGTCTGGGGGCCCCCATCAGTCTAGGCTACGGTGTCAAATTCTCTGACTGACTCTCCACTTTCCTGTGAGCCATGTCCACTGGAGCCCGGCTATCTGGGTCACACCAGGAGTGAGAACCGGTCACGCTGGGTTCACCCAGGCGGGGCTGCAGGATCCTATCCCGTCCGCTGAGGCCACCCAGACGGGCGCCCCAAATCCCCTGGGGCTGCGAGGAACACCCAGGAGCGGCAGGAAAGCTGGCGGGGGCTGGTCAGCTCTGGGGTCTCTGAGGACATGGCTGGGCAGAGCAGGTGGCCGCTGCCCCCACCTAGGGGGAGGGGACAGGAGGCTTAGGCTGCAGTTTTCCAGGGCTTTGAGGTCAGATAGGATGTTTGGGTGGGAGTGTCCTGCTTCCATCCTTGGACCTGGGTCCCGGTCCCCACGCCCAGGTGGCGCTGACTTGCTTTGGGGGCTCTCAGGGTGGGGAGGACCTCACAGTCACACGGGAGAGCTGTGGACTGCTGTTCCTTTGCTGTCGGGGGGTGGCCGGGGTGGCTGTGTGAGGTCCACAGTGAGCCCAGCCCCAGGCAGAGCCCGACCCCGGGGCCCGGAGACCAGAGCTGGGCCGACGGAGTCACGGTAGGGCTGAAGACAGACTTTACCCTTGAGCCCAGACACCAGAGGCGGGGGGTCTGCAGAGCGGGGACTGTGTCCCTCGGAAGGAGGAATGGGAGAATGGTCCAGAAGTCCTGATGGGAGGAGGCTGGCAGAGCGGCAGACTGCTCTGTCCCAGATCGGGCCCCCGCCTCCTGCCAGGCACCTGTGGGCACGGGGAGGTGGTGACAGGTTGACAGAACCTTCTGGAACGTGTAGCCTGCCCGGGGGCTCCACGTGTGGGCACATGAATGACAGTGTCATGCGGTGCCCACCTCGTGGAAGGGGTGACCGCTAAGCTGTGTGCTGGGTGAGGCTGGGCGAGGGGAGGAGGGAACAGTACTCTAGAGGGTGGAAGGACATGTGCGAGAGCCCTGAGGCACGTGGGGGACGGCTGACTGAGGGAACCCAGGTCTGAGGGGCGTGGGAACGTGGGGGGGTGTGGGGTAGGTAAGGGCGCTCCCGGAGGTCACCAAGGCCAGGGCACAGAGGCTCCTGGGTCACGTTTAGAATGTGGATTTCATCTGCGTGACGGCAGCTGGTGGTGATGTTCTGGCAAGATCCCTGGGCTGCAAGGCCGTCAGGGTCACACCTTCTCGAGGAGGCGGGGTTGGCAGGGAGGGGGCCAGGAGGCCACGTGGGAGACCAGCCCCCGAGACCAGCCCCCGAGCGGCAGGGCAGCCAGTCAGCCAGGAGGGCCGTGGCCAAAGAGAGCCGGGCCGGCAGTGCCCGGATGCAGGTTTGTAGAAACTGCTCCGGGCGGTGCGGGGGTGGGGGCGGTGGGTGTTGGGAACGTCCCGGAGAGCAGCTCCCAAGCCTCAGATCCTTTCCCACAAAAGTTAAAAAATGTGCACAAGCTGGAAATGAAAAGACCTCTGCTGGGCAGCGGGGGCGGCGCGTGGAGGGGTGGGGGGAGCCGTGCGTGTTTGGGGGCTGGACCGGAGCCTGGGGTAGGGGTTTTCGTCCTGGTGCTCCCGAATCTTTCTGTCCCTCCCTCCTGCCATCTCCCCCTGCCCCCTCCGTCCCGGTCATACAAGCCATGGACATCAGAGGTCAGCACCAGAGGGTCTGCTGTGTGCACTGGGTCCTGGACCCTGCCCTGACCGAGCCCTGTCCTGTGCCCCCTCCTGCGCCCCCCTCCTGCACTGGGAGCCCCGGGACTGAGAGCCGCCCCCATGGACAGGCTGGCTGCTCTTACCATCATTATGCCCACCCGCGTCTGGGGCTGAGGTGCTGTCCCTCCCGGGCTTTCCGGGGTCCCCCATCACCCCAGCCAGACACAGGGAGAGCAGCTCCAGGCCTCCGAGAGGTCACCAGCACCTTCACCAAGGGGAGTCCCCATGGGCATCCAGGGTAGGACCTCAGATGACAGCCCACGGCCCTTCTGGGCCTCCCTCTGCCCCGGGAGGGGTCTAGCGTCTGTCTTGGGGGGGCGGTCTGGGGGAGAGGACGGGTGCGCTGGGCAGGACCCAGGGACGTGGGCCCGGGCTCCACCTGGCAGCTCGCACACGCTGGTCACTGCCCGCCTGGCCTCGGGGGACCTGGGACAGTCACGGCCACGTCAGAGGGGAGCTCAGAAGGCTCTGGCTGACGTCCTCGCAGACCCGAGGTCCAGCCCACACCGTGGAGGTCACCGAAGGACTAGCGGGACCCACTTGTGGATGTCCAACATGGCTCTCCAGGAGGGGTTGGGCCTGGCCTGAGTGAAGAGGGAGACAGGCAGGAGGGGGACTGTGAGCCTCTGGGGCAAATGTTCCCCCCGCATTTCTGCACCGATTGGGCCGGTGTTTTCCAGGCTGTTCCTGCAATCGGGGGCCGCGGGTGCCACCCAGTGGCCTCCCGGGGAATTGCAGCGCTCCACGCTGGGCGGGACCCGCCAGCCACTTCTCGTCCTGCCGCGGCTCCGTCGTTAGGGTGCCGGGTGAGGAAAGGAGAGCTGCTTGCTGGCTTGTGACCATGGAGGCCGCGCCCGGCTCCGAGGCCGCCCCTGGCCCAGGCTGTTCAGAATCTGTAGCGCCCAAGGCACGGAACAGACTTCTACCTTGTAGAGATGGGCACGAGCCACGGAAAGCACCAGGGCAGGGCGGGGTGTGGGGACCGGTGTCCTGGAGCGGAGTGGGGCTCTGCCGTCGGGGCTCCCCACCCAACGCAGGCCAGGCGGCTCAGCCGCGGGATTTCTTTGGAGCAGTTTTGGTAATTAGGTGGGAAGTGGACGGGAGCCAGGGGCCAGCGAGCCGAGCAGGGCCGGGCTGTGGTTTGGAGAAACGAGACTCCTTCCTAAGAAGGTCCCGTGGAGAGCGAGGGAAGGAGAGGCCACTGTTTGCCAGGACCTTGTCTGGGCTTGTACTCACATGAGGGAGGATTTAGCACAGTTTTGGGGACACCCCAGTCCCGGGAACTGCATGCCAGTCGGGCGTGTGTGGGTCCGTTTCTGGGCTCTTCACCCCGCCCCACTGATTGGAGTGTCTTTGCCCCTACAAACACCGCAGTCCTGATTCCTCTGGCTGTACAGTAAGATTTGAAGTTTAATGGGCCGATTCCACCGATTCAATTATTTTTTTCAGAATTATGTTGGCTCTTCTAGTGCCTTCGTGCTTCCATATAAACTTAGAAAAATCTCACATATGTCTACAAAAAGCCCTGCTGGGGTTTCAGTAGGAACCGTGTGAACGCTGCACGCCAGCCCGAGGACGGACGTCTTTCTGTCTGTCGAGTCTCCGCTCATGAGCACCGTAGGCCTGTTTATTGAGAAGCGCCTTGATTTCCCTCAGCAACGGTGCATCCCCCAGCATCGGACCCTGAGCGTTTCACTAGCTTCACACCCCCGTCTTCCACCATCTTGGGGGTGACTAACACTGGCATCTTTAATGTCAGTGTCCACACGTCCTCGCTAGGATGTAGAAACGTCATCGGTTTTCTGTGTTTATCTGATATCCTGAAACCTCGATGAGCTCAGCACTTCCAGGAGTTTCCTTCTGTTTGTTTCTGTAGATTCCCGAGGATTTCCCACTTAGATCATCGTGTCCTCTGCAAACATGGGTCGTTTTCTTTCTTCCTTTCGGGTTTTTATGCCTTTTATTACCTTTGCGTGCCCCGTTGCCCTGGTTGGCAGCTCCTGCACTGTGATGAGTGGGACGTGGGGAGTGGACGTCCTCACCGCCTTCGCGATCACTCACCACCCGTCCATCATGGATGACAGCATTCATCGTGCCCCACTAGGGACAGCGTTAATTCTCTTGTTTTCTTTAAGACATAATCATTTATTTTAGAGTGAGAGAGAGAGTGTACGAGTGGGAGGGGCAGAGGGAGAGGGAGAGAGGATCTCGGCAGGCTTCCCGTTGAGGGCAGAGCCAGACGCTCGGGCTCAATCCCACAACCCCGAGACCGTAGCCCGAGCTGGAACCAAGCGTCGGATGCTCACCCTACGGTGCCATCCGGGCGTCCCAAGTACGGTGTCAATCCTACATTTTTTGCAGATGCCTTTATCAAGTTGAGGGAACCCCCTCTATTCCCATTTTCTGAGGATTTTTTAAAAAATCACAAGTAGATGCTGAATTTTGTCAAATGCTTTTTCTACCTTGACTGCTATGCTCACGTGATTTTTCTTTGCGATCCTAATAACACGGTGCGTTACACTGTCTGGTTTTCAAGTGCTGAATGGCCCCCGCATCCCTGGTGTACATCCCACCTTGTTACGGTGTATAATTATTTTTTAATTTTTTTTTAAAGATTTTATTTATTTATTTGTCAGAGTGAGCACAGCAGACAGAATGGCAGGCAGAGGCAGACGGAGAAGCAGGCTCCCGCTGAGCAAGGAGCCCGACGCGGGGCTCGATCCCAGGACGCTGGGATCATGACCTGAGCCGAAGGCAGCCGCTTAACCCACTGAGCCACCCAGGCGTCCCCGGTGTATAATTATTTTTATATGTTGCCGAATTCTATTTGTTAATATTTTGTTAAGGATTGTTGCATCCGTATTGATGAGAAACATTAGCCTACAATTTTCTCTTTTTTTTTTTTTTTTTTTTAAAAACTCTCTGTGTGGTTTTGGCACCAGCGCAATATTAGCTTCATAAAGCAAATAAGGGAGTGTTCTTTCCTCTTTTATCCTCTGCAGGAGGTTGTGCGGCATTCAGACCGATTCTTCGAAGATGTGCTGTGATTCTCCTGTGAAATCATCTGGGCCAGAAAATGTCTTTTTGTGGAGTTTTAGGATCAGGAATTCGATTTTCTTGCCAGTGTAGGGCTATTCAGATCGTCTGGTTCATACGGGATTAGGTGTGGCAGCTTGTAGTTTTCGAGGAATTGGCCCGTTTCAGCTAAAGCGTCGCACTCATGTGTGTAGAGCTGGTCATGACATTCCCTTCTTGTCCTTTGACGCCTGCAGGGGCCGTGGCGAGATCCCACTTCCGTTCCCGAGTTAATAATTGGTGTCTTCTGTCTTTCCTGCCCGGTCAGTCGTGCTAGGCGTTCCTTTCCCAGTGCTCACGCCTTTTCTTTCTTCTCCTTATCTCTCTGCCCCGAGAACTTCCGCGCGAGGCTCCACAGGGCTGCTGAGAGAGGTCGGCCACGCTGTGCTGCCGGTCTCCGGGGGAAAGCGAGCAGTTTCTTACTACTAAGAGTGACGTTCGCTGGTTGTGTGTTGTGGTTGTTGTTTTGTTTTTGTTTTTAATG